CTCCTGGCCACGGACCTCTATCAACTTTTCCGAGATGGCGACCCAGCGCATGGCAATCTCGATCTCGCGCTTCGCCCGCGTCCTCGACCGAGAGCGGCCCCGAATTGGCGGACTCTGCGGCTCCTGCTCACGAATCTCTTGCCTTAGACCACGCAGCTCCTGGTCACGGAGCCGCGCCAAGAGTTGGCCCACCTCCACAGCATGGTCGTGGCGCTCCCGCTGCAGCAGTGCTTTCAGCTCCTCACAGCTGCTGCGGAGCTCCTCCAGCTCCACACCTTCCGACTCCTCCAGCAGGTGGTTGGTACCCTCCTCCATGACAAAGGAGGAACTCATGCCTGGGCAACACCGGATTTCCGGAGCGGTTGCTACGGGGAAAGGAAAATGTTCCAGAAAAAGCGAGAAAAGGGATTGGCAAAAACGGAGTCCCTCCAAACCGTGCTGAGAGTCTTTCCTCGGCCATGACCTTGGCCTGAAGTACAGCTGGCGCCGTCCAGATGAGTAGAAAGGCCGTGTAATAGGTAGCAACAAAACCAACGGCCATTCGCTGCATACTTGACATCTTAGAATCCAAGATCATGCCCGCCATGGTGCATGCAAATGCTAAAAATGAGCACTGAAGGAGGGGGATGCCCAGCTCTCGCTCAAAAGCGTCGAAGACATTGTCTGCTCGCTCGAGGCGACAACATGGGCAAGCCACGGCCAACCAAACAATGAATGAAATCGTGCGAAGCCAAATCTGGGCTGCAATCACCTCAACCAAAGTCAAGTCGAGATATGAAATGGTCAAGTCTGTTTTCTCCAATGCCCAAAACCATGGTCAACATCCTAACTCACACCAAGAAGGAAACAAATCATGCTTGAAGCTCACAATCCCAGAGACAGATGCCGTGAAGGGAAGAATCAGCAAAGCACCCAGGATTTTCAGTGGACCCTGGAGCAACGCTTCTCTCGCACCCCACCCCGTGCAAAGCCACTGTACCAGCTGTCCGGGCACTGAACGCCTCGGCTCCAGGGCAGCCAAGCCAGCAGCGGAGTAGGCCACGAATAACAAAATGATAAAGAACCTCAATTTGGCGCCGGCACGGTTCAACCATGTTCAACCTGTTCCAGCTCAGGATGCTTAGACTGAGGGGAGAAGAAGATGCAAAGAATCATCCACTCACTTGTTGGATCTGAAACTCCACCTCAACTTGGAATTGTACATCTATATGTTGTGACATTGTCAAATGCACCAGAGACTTGGGAATTTGGGACTAATCTTGGGATGAGGAACATGGGATGTGAGGGCAACAATAGGACTGTTGAGGTAACAATAGGATGGGTCACACTTGGTTTCCATGGATCATAGTCTGACGATTGGGCGGGCCAAAGATCACTTAATTCGTCATTGTCAGAGTTTGAATGATTGCCCTGAGATACAGGATGTACCCTCTGGTATGCGCTTTTGTTTTAGTTATATATGTCATATCAACTCCTTGCAAGGCGGGCCAAGGGCTCTCCTTTTATGTCAAGGCACGTGAGCACGGTGGTGTCATCCTCAATAAGCAGAAGCACTCGCAAGCCCAGCCACATGGCTGCTCCACTGACAATGAAGCAAATTCGACCCAGGAAGAGTTTGGTGCCTGAGGCCCCGCCGGCGAGGTCCAACAACACTCGCCGGGACACTAAGGAGCGGTGCAAGACTCTCGACCTGCCACTGCCCTGCTGGCTCACCAGGTCATAAACACCACAGAATGTAAAGGCAATTCCATGATATAGCAAGACCACGAGAGGAAGGTAGTGCCCACTGTCAATGCCCATCAGAAATGGCATCTGCGCTAGGTCCACCAGTTGAGCGACCAGAACCCCCACCAGTATGCAATCCCACACAGCAGCGCGGATGAGTGCTGCATAGAGTTGCGGCAGCTTTGGAACCAATCTGGTGTAAATGATTTCGACTCCCAAAGCTAGAGTGGCAGCAGCAGAATAAACAAAGATTTTACAATAAAATCTCTCCACTGCCGTGGAGGCTCCCGTGTTGGAAGCTCCCGTTACCAGCATGTTGGGATGCAGCGCTTGTTCCACACACGGCCGTGGGCGCTCCACGGCGACTCAGATCTTGAAGCTCCACGGCAACAGGAACGGCAAAGAACAGATCGGAAGGAAGCTTCAATGGGAGGCAAACCTACCACTCATCGGTCTTCCAGTATATACTCCAATTCTGGATAGATTTGGTCGCCCCAGCTTGAAACCCATGGCCATCAATGAAACCTGCCAATAGTCGTTTCTCTTCCCGCTGGCCGGGCAACCGCCCGTTCGGCCAGCCCGGTGGCAGCACCGCCCGTACGGCTGAAGGCGCCAAACACGCTCCTTGTCGGAGAGGGAGATCACCTGGACCTCGGGCTCAGCAATGGCGAGTCCAATGGGCCGCTTGAAGTGCCTCGGGCGTCCAAGCGGGTCTCGACCGGTCGAGCCCCTCTCTCTCTCTCTCTCTCTCTCGGCGGGAGTGAATGGGACGTTCAGGCCCTGTGAAGTGGGTGAAAGATCGAGGTGCGAGACTGAAATGTGGACCTGCGTTCACCATGTCTCTTTCATTATCTTTCTGTATGTCCCTCCCTGCCGCTTTTTCCTTCGACTGATGGAGGTGACCAAAGCATGAGCAACCAAGCTCCACAAACTACGTGTCCAGCCTCTGTCGCGTGGACTCTCGATTTCTGTGCGCACCAACTTTGGAAGCCCAACCGGCGAAAAAAAGAAAACAACTGCACAAATGGGCAGCCCCACAAATCTCCAAAGGATCTCGTCATTGCGAGGCCCTAGCAGTTCTCAGACTCGTGAACTCGGAATCCGGCAGTTGGCAGCTCCACAGCTCCCGGCCTGGTATTCCCTCCTGGCGGCCTTATTCATGGAGTTGGGGTTTGTGGAGGTGGCCACACGCCAGGCGCCCCGCACCTGCCATGGGAGTTTGGCCTTAAAGAGAAGACGTGCTCATCTTGTCCAAGGGAGACAGGAGTTAAACCTACCAACTTGGTGATCTTGGTCGCGCTTACAATGTCCACTCTTGGGTTTGGGAAGGCAACTCGCAGCGCCCGTGAGGCTAGGCCCCAAGGCTATGCTTGGATATGCTGCTTCCGCAGGCACCTGCAACACAAGACCCCCAACGCGCTCGATGCGCTTCTTCCTGGCAGCGCAGGGTCTCTCTGCTCCAAAGATCTCCAAAGCATTGAGTGGTACACTCACAGTTTTGAAGGTGAAGTGACTTCATCCGTCTTGAGCAATCCACCAATCCAGTTCAACACCAAGTCTAGGATGGGGCAAAAGACTTCAACTGACACAGCACGATTTCAGGCCACACAGCAAGGCCATGCCCGGTGCGGCTCGTCCATTCGCGTAGGTTTGTGGTCCTCCGAGACCGGCACAGCTGTGCCGGCACGACCTCAGCTTCATCAATGAAACTCACAGCAAGGCCCGTCACCGACATCCGTGGTCGGTCATCCTCAATCCTGTTATATACCTCAACTGCACATCACAATTGCTTGCTACTCTGCCAATGTGTCGGAAGTGATGTCCTTCAAAGCCCTCTTGAGGGACGATCTGTTCGCACCGCCGCTTCGCCACACCACCCTGAGGTCGCCGGGCAAAGCACCGCCCGGGAGTCCCCTAGGTTGGACACCACCTGAGGTTGTCGCGCGCGCGGACGTCGCTGGAAACCCGAGAGGTTCGACTGCTTCGGGGCGAACGGTGCGGCTTTAGGCGAGATGGAGAGGTGCGCATCACGAAGCTGGGAAAGGGCTCAAAGGATCCCGCCAGACGCAAAGCCGTGCCCAGCTTCCTCAGGTGCAGGAAAACGTGGGAGCGCTAGGACCGCTAGGAGCTAAGTGAAACCTGCTGAGGTGGATGATCTGCAAAGATGTGCCATCATATCATATCACAACAAATGGTCTTTGCAATCATATCATTACCCTCTCCAAATCCATTGACACCTCAAACACGTCCACTTTCGACCACCAGTTCGCGGGTTCGTCTGAGCACCGTGCGGATTTCCATGGAGGATCACTGAGACCTGGAGAACAGAATCCGCCGGAAGGAAAAAGGAACTCATTGGAAAGGAGTTGGCAAGGCATGGAAGAAAAGAGTTCGATGGATTTGAATGGAAACACAATGAAACACACTTCTTTTCTTGTAGATAGTTGGAACAAAAGAAGCTAGCGACCCTGTACCTGGCATGGATGACACAAGGGCTGTGTTTCCTCGCAGAATGGCAAGTCGAAGGCCACACTTCAGCTGCTCGACGGACTTCTCACTGAGCTTCCCTGCACAAGTGGAGCCAACAAGCTCAAACCTCAATGGGACACAGTCGTGCAGAAGGGTCAGGCTCCAGTGGTGTCCTTTCCGCAAAGACATTCAGGAAATCCATCTGGAGGGAAATCGGTCATCAAAAATCAAAGAACTCATGCATGGCAGGCATGGACAAGCTATGTGTCCAACACCATGGCAAGTGTTGTCACACGCAACTGAGGGTGTAATGAAAATCTTGCAAGTGCAACGGATCCCTCTTGCAGCACCTTTGACTTTCACAGGAAGGCTTTCCGCAAGCGTTGTAGGTTCGCGGGCCCAAAACTGAAACGCTCCAAGTGGCTTCTTGCGCTCCGCCAGCCCAAGGATCTCCTTGTCCGTTTGCAAGAAGGCCTGACAAATGTAACTTGAAAAGCTCCTACCAAACCTTTTCTTTGGAGCCTCCGTCAAACCACACGCCCCTCGTTTCGGGGGCCTCTTTGATGGCCATCTTGATCTTCTCATCGCGAGATGCAGGTTGCACCTGCACTTTTTCGCTCAGACCGGATCACCACGGGTGCGACCCACATCGAAGACGTTCCCTCCATGAACTGTGTGGTGAGGCGTTTGGACCCAACAGAGAAGTACCCAAGAGAATGCCACATTTGCAAGTGACAACTTTCTGCAGAACCTGTCGCTGCCGCATTTGCTGGAGGACGTTCCTTAGAGCATCCCAATTCTGCCCGAGCAGCAGTCAAAGCAGCTTTCCACGGGGGAGTGTTGCAATTCCAAGGACATGGACCCTTATGGTGAAGAGAAGCAGAATGCTTTGGACACTTCCATAGCTCACTCTTTCACTCCATCCATTCCTCCCTTCCAAGCTACTTCTGAAGCTTTTCCTTTGCCATATCGGCCACCTGGCACAGACGTGGTCGCAGGCTGCGCATGGAGGCTGCGCATGGCACCGTCTGCGACCACGTTTCCGCTGGCCTGCGTCCCGCCGTGTCCATCCAGCACAGCAAAGTAGACGCCAAGCTCCTGCACAGCGTTGATGGGATGTGAAAGGTCGTCCTTCGTCGCCATTCGTGTGTTCCTTAAGAGTCATTTGAGAATGTGCTCAAGTATCAAAAGAGAACGAAAGGGAGCAAGGTCTCTCTAAGGGTCTAGAGAAGGAAAGAAAAGAAAAACGGAAAGGAAAAAGGAAGGAAAGAAAGAAAGAAGGAGACGGCCTGAAGCACTGCATCGCTCTTTTCAATGAAAGGGTTTGATCCAGCTGCGACACCAGACACCCGCCAGGCACTGCCCGAGTCCCGCTCTGAGCCGCACCTCCAGCGGCTCATCCAAGACATAGCGGTCCTGCAGCGTCTTCTTCAGGCCAGGCCTCAGTGAGACAATGCAGACCCACCTGGTCAGCTGGGAAACCATGAAAACAAGGAGGGATTGCTTGAGTCTTCGCCCCTCTTAGCCCATGCAACTGAGTTGAAGCCCACTGGACTCACTAGTCCCTAGGCCAAGATGAAGCACACGTCACACGTCGGACATCAGCAGATTTTGCACAAAGATCACAAAGCTGATAATGAACTGCGTTCTAAGAAGTACTCTGCCGTAAAAGGATCAGTGGGCTAGGACTCATGAGCTCCAGGCCAGCTCTCACAGTGCACCCGAAGACCCAAGGACTCCGCAGAGACATGGTAGCTCTTCTTCTTCTCCTCGAAAGGCTTACTTCTTCTTCACTCGTGTTTTAAAGATTACCCATCCTACTCTGGCACCTTACAGTTTCGAAAAGATGCACGGGGAAGACCTAAATAAATCCACCAGATGGACTACCAAGCAATGTCAAAGTAACATGGTTTGGGTATCCCCACTCTTGCGCACTGGTGTCCTATTCGACGTGGCCCCTTGCTCATAATAGGTATGGTAGACACACTATACAACATGAAACCGCATGCAAGATCAAAAAGAATCGATTATATCAATTGTGCATTTGTCAAAGGGCCTATGCAGCCATGACGTGCCCTCCTCCAAGGTCTGCGCACCCGCATGAATCGGCAGAGGCTTCCCATCGGCGCCTACAACTCCGCTCGGGTTGAGTTACTCTTCCAAGAACGAACGAAGTTGGCAATCTGCAGCAGTCATCTCTGAACGAGAAGTGCATTCTTGGCAGCCCCACTCCATGCTCGTTTTTGAGTGATTGACTGGAAAAGGGACATCGAACACTCTGCTGGGCAAAGTCAGGATTGAAATGAGACAGCATGAGGTTGACAAGGCCAGAAGCCATCTGTGAGAAACTCTGCAAGTGCAGGAATGACTTGGAACGACTCTCGAACATCATCAACGCTGATCTGGGCCCCCTCACCAAGCATGAGCACTTCCAGGGCACAAGGCTTGCTGTCCTGAGTCCCCTGTTTGAAGCTCACCTGGCAAAAAAAATGTTTGTGTGACCACACAGTATGGGCAACAAGCGCTAGACGAGTCGCCAAGTGGGAGGCAATGAAAGTTGGAAAACATTGTGAGAAAAAGGTAAATCAATCATTCAAATGGAAAATAGGTGAATCCCTTGAATCCCCTCTTATATAAATGTGTTGGAAACCGCTTTCCATCTGTTTTGAGACACCGTTTTCGACTGTAACGCAGTCCCGCCTTCACTCCCTCCTTGAGGTTGATCGGGTTGCTGGGCGTGCTTCCCACGATGAACTTCCGGTGCACAAACAGACCTCCGGGGGCCCCGTGGCCGGACTGGTGCATGACTGGTGAGGCGGATGCCATGGCGGCTCTTTTTTGGTTCTGTGATATATCATGATATCATTATGACTTCTAATTTTTGGTCAGAGTGGGCCTTCCAGTAGGTGCCGACATCCACCGATCGACCCCGCCTTTCCCCATGTCACCGCCTTCCTCTTTGCCCGCGGGCATGATGAAGCCGAAGCCCTGCCGCTGGCATCACAAGGGGAGCGTGGCGGTACCTTGATTCTTGATTGGATAGAATTCAGCCTATATATGGATCCCTACTTTACCCAAAGACCCTAGGCCCATCTAGGCCCATCTAGGCCCATCGAGGCCCTACGGACTTGCGGGTCACGGCCTTCTCCGAGTCCCATTTGTTGACCCGGCCCTCCAGCCGGAGGTCCTGAACACAGTGGCACTCCAAAGAAGAGCAGACCTGGACGTATTTATGCAATCTACTGTATGTATGTATGCAATGGTACTTTCCTTGTACTTCCGGGCTGACGTGATAGCCTTCAGAACCAAAGCCGCTTGAGAGTTCCCTTCTCAAACCAACGCCGCGCCAGCCGCGCTGCCTCCTCCTTCTTCTCCTCCTTCGGAGGTGGCTCAGGCGGGCCCACCATGGGCGCTGGGCCCGTGGGATCGGCGGCCGACTCCTGGCGCTCGGAGGTTCCGCGGGCGAAAAGCGCGAGCGAACGGCCGCTGTTCGGCTGAAATCGATCAGAATTCTTAGCTTCTTGTTACTAGTATGTTACTAGTAGCGATGCCAGGAGCTACTAGTAGCGTCCTTGCTCCTAGTAGCGATGCCCTTAAGCTTTGTTACTATCATCAATCAGAATCTCTGGTAGATCTGGGAAGCTTGTGAAGCGTCACACATGACCTGGAAAGTGATGTCAACAGGCGCCCAAAGCTGATCCTCCGCCACTCCGAGCTCCCGTTCCGCAGCCTGAACACTGCTACCATCCACCTCGAATTTCATGAATTCAGTCTTGGAGATTGCCTTGCGCATCTCTTCCGACCTCGGGTCAACTTCGGCTTGGTCGGAGACGGTAGAACAAAAGACATGAGAACTGATTCACTGTCGGTGTCCATCCTGTTTGAAAGCAATCCCAAATGTCTGAACATGTGAACCAAGCGTCTGCCGGCGCGCTCCCTTGAACAGAAGGGGATCAGGGAAGAGTACTCACCCTGATCAAGGAGGCTGGGTTAACGCGGTGAGACGCGGAGATTGGCTGAGATTGGCTGAGATGAGATTAGCCATGTTTGTCAATCCTTTTCTCTCGCCATGTCATAGCTGGTGGTCACTTTGGTGAGCCCTTGTGTCTCGCCAAATTGGAAAGTAGATAGCAACATAGTACATGTACACACAGTGATACGTTGTCATGGCTGGTGGCTGTGACTAGTGGTCACACTTGATTGGTTTGTGGGCTTCAATTTTGCCATCTCCGTGTCCTGAGTCCTGAATTTTTTGAAAGTGTTTGGGGCACTCCGGGCTTTGGGCCTGCTTCTTGGAATGTATCGGAGATGCGCTGCTTGCAAGTTGATCGTCGATGTCATCGCAGGTTTGTTTGGACTTGATCCTCTGCGGGTCTTCATGGGCTGTTCGCTACGTAGAGTGAACATGTCTACTGTCTCTACTGTCTCAAACTTGCCAGTACCATGTGGTTTCCAGGGGTCTCTGAAGATGGTGGTGTTTCCCAGAGCCAACATTATGGCCATCTCTTCAAAGCATGCCGGCTCACGAACGCAGGTTTGCCCACCCGCTTGGGCTGCCGCTGCTTCATTTTTCGGACAAGTGGATCCTGAGCAATTTGGCTCTTAATCAATTCCAAACAGTGATTTGATTTGCCTGTTTTGTTCATTTGGGTCAGCCAGGCTTTGACCCATAGCCATAAAAGTTCGTCTGAAAAACACCGCTCTGGCCCATCTGGGGACAGGCCTCATCATCATCTATCCTTCTGAAGAATCTGTGGTCGCTTTCTTTTGGTGTGTAGTACACCTGAGCTGCAAATTCATGGACTCGCACGCGGTCCATACCACCCCACCAAAACTGTGGCAAAAAGAGCTGAAGCTTTCAGCCGGTTTACAACGGAAGGATGCATATTCACTGACTCTGTAGCATCATCACTTTTCCGCCAAAGGCGTTCGGAGGGTGAGCCGATTTTTGAGGCACACCCATCATGATCCTTCTGTTAGAACGCACGGCATGCAACTTCGTGGGGCACCTGCGACTTCAAATGGAAGTAGAGCCCTGTCTCCGGGTGGAACTTCCATTTTCCTGTCTTCTTATACACCTTGGACCGTGCACTGCTTCAATGCTGGTACGGGAAAGGGCTGGAAACGCAGAATCGACATGCCATACTTGCACTGGAGCACAGAATGCAGTCCATACCTGTCTCAAACCACGGACCTGAAAAAGGGAAAGTCATGTGTGATTGAATGGTGTTGGGTCGACAACCATCTTCATTTACTATTCCAATCATGATGTCCGCAAAATCGACCGACCTTCCGCACACGCATCGCACACGGCTTCTTTTCGTCGTGGCGTGTCGATTCGAACCATCTCCGTCGGGATTCGCATTGACGCGACACGAGTGCGGTCTGCTTCGACCGGTCTGCTTCGACCGAGTGCTTGGACGAAAGATGGAGTGCCAAGGACAAAGGCGCATCGCGGGGCTCTGGGTGGTTCAAGTCTTGGTGTTTGGGTGTTTGGTTGAAGGTAAAGAAGTACACAGCTAAGAACGGCCTGCTGAGGACTGTCAGTGTGGTGTCAGAAAAATCTTTTGTCTGAGCCTAGCAGCAGAGAATATCGCTCCCTGGAGGGCTCATGTTCTGAGCTGGCTTGAGCAAGTTTGGTGGCTCTTGATCAGCAACAGCTTTCAATTCAGCTCACCTGTGCCACTTGACAGCTGCGAAGCAACGATTCCGTGCAATGAACCCGGACTTCAAGGGAAACACCATGGGCCAAGCTCGTAGATGGAATAGGAGAGAAACGAACAGGAGTATAGGAGATAAAATCCTGCATCCAACTATGCAACTCCTTTCAAGCGCATAAGAACCCTACGTACAAGAAGCCTTCTTGTGCAACTGGATTGAGCAATTCAGCAGTGTACAACTTGGGGCTTTGCAAGTGTGTGTGTGTGTGCCTGACATGAATTCTGTCAGAACGGCAAGGTTGCACAATTGTCGCTGAGATTGCAACATACCAGCCGCTGCCTCAGCACACCAATCATCAGCGCACTAGAGAGGGAGAGAGATCTTGGACCAATGACCAAGACAAAAAAGGAAAAAACTTGTGACGTCTTGTGACATAGATAACCCTGCACGACACCGCAAGATAAGAATTGAGGGGAGGCAAGGGAAGTGAATACAAAACTGCACCAGCAGCTGCAGGGGAACATGGTGAGAGACACATCAAGTGGGGGTGTTGTGCTCAGGTCTGCAGCATTGCAGTACACAGAGGACCGGACAGACAGGAAGATGCACAAGTGGAGTGGAGGGCTGTTGTGACTCCAAATGCAGCCGAGGACAGAAAAGGCGTGGTGGAAACAATGCCGAGACCAAATCTATTTAGAGTAAGATAAGTGGAAAGAGATTGCAGAAAAAATGTCAATGGAACGATCAATCTTGGGGAGACAATATCTAGAACCCCAACAGCCAGGCTGTTTAGGGAATATTTTGCAAAACAGCTTTGTCCCGATCCTTAGCTTGAGATGCAAGTATAACTTTAAATGGTGGGAGTGTCCTCGACAGCTCAGGACTCAATGCTCCGTTTTCTTTAGCCTCCAACCAATTTCCTTGCGACATACTAGTAGCGTCCTAGGCCAGGAGCCCCTAGTAGCTTCTTGCTCCTAGTAGCGATGCAAGGAGCCCCTCAAAAATATGCGTTCACATGCACTCACACTTTGAGGCTTCCCGCCATCCCCTGCAGGCTCGTAATCCTCGAACTGCGTGGGAGGCACGCGCTCTGGTGAGCGTGACCTCAGCCACAGGAAGTATCAAGTGAAATCCTCGATCAAGTCTGTGAGTGTGATCGATGCATAAGAAAAAAGACTCAAAGACTGTCAGACAATGCCAGAAGCCCTCCAGCGGCATCCTTCCAGATCCTTCCCAAAGGTCGTGGCGGCTGCTGCCGTGGTTGGCGCTTCGGCCGAGAGGGAGACCTGCTCAGTCTCTGTCGACCAACAGGCCCGTTCCCCACCAAGAGAAAAGAGGTTTGAATGGCAGGAACCCCCAAGCTTGATTAGCAAACAAAACCATATTATCTTGATTTGTCTTGATTAAACAACTCTGTATCTAGAAAAATGCATAAAAATGCTGTTGAAAAAGAAAGTAGTTAAAAACTTTCGCCAGCAGAATTCGTTTACATTTCCTTCGAACTTCTACCAACTAATCTAGTAGAATATGGCCCTTCACCCAGCGTCATGCTCTTCACCCATTCGACGCTCCACCTCGACTGCTCCGCCTCGAAGTCCGAGAGGTTCCTCAAAAGCACCGACATCGGAGCACCGACATCGGTCGTCCGTCCACCAGTCACGGTGGCGAGTCCCTGAAAGGCTCCGCCGCTTTCAGGAATCACCAGGTACTTGTGCAAACGTGCTAGTGCCACTCATCCTCAGTGCCACCCTCTCTGAGGTGACGGCTTTTGCTCAGACTCGGACCTGTCATTGAAAGGTGCACGGCTCTCGGGCAGGGAACTTGAACTCGCTCAAAGCATTACTGGCAGCTTTGCGCACCTGTCCACTATGACATACTTTGCGCTAAACATCCCTACCAAATGTATGGCACAGCAAATCCTGGACTTTTCAAACCATAACACCCCTTTTCTCCAACCTAAATGGATCTAAATGAACTCTTCTTTCCGATCACCGGTCTTTTGCGTCACCCACCTCGGTGGCGTGGGCGTCGGTCGCCGCACCTTCTCCTGGATCGGTAAACAAAGGACCTGTGGAAATCACCCTGTCAAAGGAGCTTCACAAGGCAGACTGCCAGGCAGGAGGCGTAGCATGTCTTTACCAGCCCCTCGAAGGGGGCGGTTTTGCGCCGTGAGTCCCAGGGAACTACCCTTTGAGATCGACGGGTGAAGCTCTTCGACTGCCTTGTCAAGCGGTGCATCGGTATCAAACACGGATGACAACTCTGGCCACAAACACACACTTGCAGCACATTCCAGCCCCCACTAACCACACTTTTGCATCTCAGTCAGCGGATTCCGTGCCAGCCCAAGTTTCTTGACGAGGTCAAGGAACTGGGTATTAAAAAGAAAGATAATATCAGGTACAGCAACAGGTGGAAAGTTGACTCAGGAAAGGATTCACACGGTCCAAGCACGTCAAAGTCAAACAGCTGCACTGCTTGAAACTTCAATAGAATTACATTTGAGTCAAAAGCGGAGTTCATCTTCGGCGAAAAGAGTTGGGGAGCGGCGGGAGTTGCTTGGCAGTCCCTTCGTCGACCGTACTCCCGGTCAGAATTCGGCACCCTCAAGCCCAAGTACCCTCCTCATCAAAGTTCGACGAACTCCCAGCTGCCACTATGTCGGACAGCGAGATTGAAATTCGGTACATTCCGCGAGGGAAAAGTACCAAGGAGCCCACTCATCAAAATTCGACGACCCCAGCTGCCACCTGGTCTGCCAGCGGGGTGGGCGGGGTCATCACATGTCCTACGAATTGGAAATAACAGACACCCCCGAATGTCTAACTAACTCGAGCGATAAGCTGATCAGTGGCAAACAACTGCTCAACCACTACAACCAGAGCATCAAGGACTTTCGTCTGTCGGAAGAAACTGAGCACCGGAACAAATCATTTAGCGAATGCTGCCATCGTTCATCACGCTCGTCTAGCTCAATCTCCCAAACTGGAGGTAAAGCTCTTAAAACCACTCGGAATGCTACACTCCGTCTCAAGTCTGAGTTGTTCAGAAGGCGGAAAAATCGAACAGGCCTTGGCCAGCTCACAACACGTCAATTTATAGCCATTCTTCGTCACGAAATTGCAGCCCTTGAACTTGTCTCTCACGGTTCATTAGGATAGTCAACACGTGGGGTAGTGTTGCCAAGTTTGGGAACCTCGGGGAGAAACCAGGAATCAACACAAGAATGATGCACCAACCTGCGAGCCGGCAAGGTTTGGGCAAACACCGGCCAACATGTCATGGCTTGTGTCGAAGAGTCTGGTTTTTTGCTTTTGATTTTTAGCACCAAGCTTGGCCAAAGCGCTGATCACTTTAAAATTCCTTGATACCACAAAAAACCGGGAGCTACCCTTATGACGGCTTGCGCCTTGCAGTTCTCAGTTTTCGAAGGTCAGCGTTGGATGGTTTTCAACCATAATCAGACACATGCCTGTGCACCACTTGTCGCATTTTGTGGCCTGGGACAACTGACACAAATCCATCTGACCTCCGAAAGAGCAGCATCTACAAGTAGCATCTGGCGCGGCTTTTTGTGAAGGACGTCCACTGGACTCCGGACCCCACGTCTGATCTTATCTTTCGCTCCCACGAAGCCCTGGAAAAAACTGAGCCTTTTTGGGGCGCGGTCAACGTCAAGAAGAGGATGTAACAGTGCTTTTTTCACCCTTGCCTCCCTTTCACTAGTCAACACGCTAGCCCAACTTTGGAGCCCAACTGCATATTTGAAGCCAACAGCGTCACCAGCTTGCATCGCAGTAACCCACGGCACGTGCTATTGTCTGAAGGGTTTCTCTGATCTCCTCCATCTTCTCCTTGTACCAATGACTCTTTGACACAATGTACTGGGTACAGAGTGTTGCTTACAACAATTCTTCACCAGTCCAGCTGTTTGAATCCAAAGGCCCCAAATCGATGGCTCGCAATCGGACCCGGGATCCCAGTGACCTAGGGGCATTTCACTCAGAGCTCCAGAGGGGTTACCTCACTTTTTCCTGTCTGACAAAAGGGCTGTGAGTATGTCACATGCATAGTTAGCAATGCCAATGATGCTGCACATGTGGGCTATGATCTACTTGGAAAATGGTTCGTAGATATACAATGACAACGTCGTCTATC